CACTACCCTAAAATCGGGTAATTTTATTTCACTATGTAAAGGAGTCGGCAAAAATACACAATTGCTCCATACATGCTAAAGAGCTCCGAGGTTACCATGTCTGTCAAAATTAAGTTTAAATTTTATACAGTTACTACTCTCAGTGTTGCCAGTAAATCACTCAAATTCTTCCATCTAGAATATATACTTAGTCAATCAAGTCAAGTCTCTTACAAAAACAGTAAAACAGTTGCATTAAAAGTTTTTTTATTAACACAATGGCCGCTATTAAAGCCGCCATCTTGAATTTTGTAAATTGAACCCCATACCGGTGTAGCACACCTATTAGCACATCCAACGTAGTTTTTATTATTTTCCTAGCGGCTATAATGACTGCGCTAGAGTCCAAAACGTGAATAGTGGGCGTTAAATTTTCAAACTGCCGTAGCAGGCGGGGTTGCCAGGTGAAGGTGATAAAAATAGTCAAATGTGATTTCGGGATGCGCCCTCCATCGTCGAATATCAATTTTCAAGTTCTAAAATTGTTCCTTTGACAGTTACAGTTTTTGGGGTAAATCTCAAAAACTACCCTAAAATCGGGTAAATTTTTTCCACCATATCAAAGCGTCTATAGAGATACACAATCGCTCCATACATGCCAAATACCTGCGGGGTTGCCAAGTCGGTCAAAATGTAGGTTGAATTTCAAACGTTGTTTGCTCTCAGTGTTGCCAGTCGATCGTTCTATTTTTTCCACCGGGTATCTTGAAAAGTTAAAATTAAAATATTTGCATCGAAAAAAATTCAAAATTCAACAAAAAGTGTTTCCCCAAAAATCTCATAAAGTATCAAAAATTTTCAAGATTTTTTTTCACCTGGCCACACCTCAGCCACTTGCCTAAAAAATGTTTCCCCGGAAGTACTCTGACAAATGTCGGCAAGCGCGTCAAAATCAGCTCGATGCGATGACGATACACAATTTTCCGAATAAATCGGCCGCTGGTTTGGCGGCCATCTTGAATTTTGAAAATCCGGCTCCGTACCGGTGTGGCCAACTCGATAGCGCACCCGATGCAGTTTTTACCATTTTCCTAGTGGCAATACCGACTGCGCTAGAATCGACAAAGTAAAAAATGGGCAAAATTTTTCAAATCGCCGCTCCTACCAGGGTTGCCAGGTGTCGACGATGAAAATGGCCAAATGTCATTTTGGGGAGTGCCCTCCGTCGAGGAAATTCATTTTTGAAATCCCAAAACGGCTCCTTCTACTTTTTAACTTTTTGGGGTAAATCTCCGAAATTACCCTAAAATCGGGGAAAAATTTTACGTCATTCGAAAGAGCCAGCAGAGACTCACGACCAGTCCATACAAGGCGAAGAGCTCCAATGTTGCCATGTGTGCTAAAAGTGCGTTTGAATTTTTCGAAAAAGTGAAAAAATCACAAAATGGCCGCTGCCGGCGCCGCCATATTGATTTTCCCGAGTTTCATAATTTTCCCATAGTCACGACTATATCAGGCAAGGGACCTCATTCACAGATTTTCTCCGCTGGCCACCCAGGTTCCCAAACAATTCGGGTTATGAGGGCATGTCGAAAAAAATATTTTCTACCGTGGAGCCCAGGGTTGTCAGCTCGTGGAAACGAAAACTACCAAAAGTCATAGGGCTCCCCCGGCGCCACACCGCATCGAGTCTGTTTTCTGCGAGAAATGCGTATATCTAAATTTCACTTTTCTCCCAAAATCTCCTAAATTACCACGTAAATGGTAAAAATAGGTAGTGAAGTAGAGAGATCCTACCGAGCCCCACGACCGGCCCATAGAAAGCAAATCCGTCCGACGCCGCCATCTTGGAGAAAATCTCACTGGAAAATGGCGATTTTTCACTGCCGAAACAAAATGGCCGCCACCGCCGCCGCCATGTTGACGCGCAAATGAAAACTCCCCGTACGTAAAAATCGACTATACTTCCGAGCTGAAGGACCAAAAATCCCCCCTCCGAACCCACCACAAAAGAATTGACGATCGCCCGAACAGAGGTCGAAAAATGTCAATTTTCCGGGTAAAATATCTCCGCCGCCATTTTTTTTTTTTAATCAAACCTTTTTCCAGTCTCATTTTTTTAGCCAAATCTACGACCATTTTGAATATCGTTACCGTAGAGTGAATAATGTAGAAACTAAAAAAATAATCTCGCCGCCATTTTGTTTTTTGGCTGTATCGATATGCCATTTCAACTCATTTTAAAAAAATATTATCACTCTCCATACATGAAAACGTCATTTACCACCTCCTTGTACCCGAAAAAAGCATGGAGTGAGTCAGTGAGTGAGTCAGTCAGTGGTAATTAAGAGGAAACCTACAAATCGGGTCGCATACTACCCTATTATAAAATATAAGATACTTTATGGCGTATACTGACATTTAGTGACTGGGTGGGACCTAAGAGCATAAGGGTGGTAAACACTCCCTAACTATACATCGTGTAGCGCGCACTGTAGCATTATAAGCAATATAGGGTTTCGTGATTTTCAGCACCCTGTGCTGCTCGAATACTTTAAAAATATTTTTCCTGTATTCCATACAGGATACCGAATCGAAAAATATTTTTTTAATAAAATAAAAAATCGCGCATTTCAGGGTAATATGTTTAATACACAAACCAATCTCTAGGGTAGGTTACCTTTCAAGCCTTATTATACTATCTAATTTCTAGGCGATTTGCGGCCACGTAGTGAAATTCTCGACACAAGCTGTCAGATTGATAATTTCAATTTTTAATAAGTATAATATAGGTTACGGGTACGAAATCTTTATATTTAATTACTTGTTTATTATACGATTAAAATGTCGATAAAGTTTTAAAATAAGTTGAAACTGTAGTAGACAACACTAATCACTCAGTCGCACATTCATCGATTGGCGCGCGACGCTCGTTGTATGCTGCCCGCACCGCGGCCTTCGAGAACGGTTCATGCAATAACACGTAGTAACCCGCAAAACCAAAAGTGTTCTTCGGAGCAGAAAAATGGTTATTTCTTTTCGATAAATAATTCCTATAAACGTCCATGGTAACAAATAAGGTATTCCTTAGTCAATTTAAACAGAAATAAGATTTTCTTTTTTGGAAAAATATAAAGATTTTCCACTCCAAATGTCCATTTTGGTTTTGCGGGTTACTACGTATTTGCTTTCCAGCGTCGATATGATATCTTTATTTCTATGTTACAACTCAAGCCGCACGTTGCACCGCTGTCGCTACTGTTACCGCGCCCGCGGGTGTCCAGTTTGCGTACTGTAATACACTATAAATACCGTAAGTTACACTAGTAACAACATATTTATTGATACATGTTCATTTTATTGAAAATGTTTAAATACTTAGATAAAAAAACAATCTCTGGTTACAATTATATCGATAATCTATGGTAAAAATTACATAAGGGTGCCGTAGGACCGGAGGCCCGGGGCCTACTGCCCCTTCCGCAGGGGGCGGTACACCCTTAGTCCGCCAGTGTAGGGTCCAATTTCTGGGTACCAAGGCACGCCTATCCGATCGAACGGATCCTTGAAAAACGTTAATATATTAAGGCTTTTAATCCATCTGATAAAATCCGACTATGTAATTTCACACAATGTTAAATGTAATTACTATATTTCGACTTCTAAGTAATCTCTCTTGTCTCATAATTAACATGATAAAAGTTAGTTTAATAAAATATAGTGATAATCAATCAAAGTTACCCTGATTATCTGTACTCAAACAATAAAACTAAGTAAGATATTTGTAAAGTTTATTGTAAAAGTCGATATAATAAAACAATATGTATGTCAGACTGGCCATGATACAGTAGAACATAATAGATTTATTTACGTATTTTTTAACATTAAATTATAATAAAAAATACAGTAACATATATAAACAAAAAAATATGCTTACTCTACCTATTTTCGATACTTATCACTATGCCATTACTTTAGTCCATTTAAGTATAAAATGAAATTCAAGTTTTCGACACAGTTATCGCTTTTCAAATTTTACATCGTCAATGTTCAAATTCCACTCACATTAATATTGACACGGGATCACGATTAAGGCAGTTTTAAAAAATACATGGAACTAGCATTTTACCTAGTAAATTAAAATCGCCGGACGCGTTACACATACCCAATACCACTGACAAACCAATGCACTCTATAGTGACAATAGGCAGTGGAAGTTAGCGCTTGGCAATAGTTAACTTGCTATAAACTGAAAAGCTTTTAACAATATTACGGGATCGATTTTATGAACTCTTAGACTGGTTTTAGTATCACGCTGACCGTAGCTGTATGGGCTCTATAGAAGCGTCCTACAATTACGGCGACCGGCGGTAAACACTAAAGTAAGTGAATGCATCCAATCCACATATAACAATAAATATGCCAGAAACTACTCCTACTGCATCGTGGTAAATAATTAACGCGTCAAAATTTCTTGTTGACATGCAAAAGTAGTTTTTCAAACAGTATCAACTAGTTGAACAACGTCCCAAACGCACCTACTAGCAATATTTGAGCAAAAGTGGATGTACATGCTGTGGTTCTTCGTTTTCGTTGTCGCTTCTTTTTTGTCGATAAATAATACACGGCAGCAATATGAACACTCACAGGATTGGCACGGTCAGCACGACACTGAAACGAGTATGCGCCGATAGCTACGCGCGTTGTCGTCAGCTTTAAATAGCAGTCAGAGGTCTCGTGTTTTTTTTTACTAGAAAGTTCAAATATTCCAGTTTTTCGAATAAGTGTTTTGTTTAATTCGATATATAAAAAACTGTGAAGCGAATATAATAAAATTTGCTTCAAAATACACATCTCTATACGTGTCGCCATAGAATGATCGCGAGAGGCAATACCATATAAAATGGTAAAGGTGAAATAATTATATTTGCAAAGAATCGACCGAAATTCGCGGAATCCGTAATAATTCGACTTCATTGCCTCAACTTAAAATTAAAGTTTTTCAAACAACTTTTGCTACTTGGATTTAATTTGATAGTTCTGATATAAGTTCATGTAAATCTATATGAAAATAATATCCAAATGGTATATTGGGTTTATGATCACTAGTAGGCGCAACTGACGTGCAAGTTTATGTATATACCTATCGCTAAAGTTCTAATATTCATTCATTTGTATTAATACATGCACTTATAATTCAACCTACACCCACAAACTGTGAACTAAATTCAACTCACACAATCGACATATAACCGTATATTTTAACTAGCGCATTTAAGCTTAATAGCTTTTTAGACACCGAGCAGCATAACAATTCACCATAAAATGTCTATATCCCAAAACTAATTTGAATTTAACTCTCAACAAATTAAGAATTAAAATCAATTGAAGTTATTAGACAGTTTATGATAACCAGATATGCCGTTCATTGTGCGAAGTCAGAATTGAGCCCAAAGTTTACATTTGTTTGTGGTTGGAATATTGGTATTCAAGGTGCGGGCATACATTTAAGCCGTTCAAAGGCCGCTTTCTCTAGGGCTTCGCGATGATCGGGATGGGCGATCTTGATTAGTTCGTAGGCCCGTTGCCGAAGGGTCTTGCCGAATAGATTGGCGATGCCTTGTTCGGTCACTACATATTGAACATGGGCGCGAGTAGTCACCACACCGGCTCCTGGAAAAACAATACAGATGTAGACAGTAAACGAAAATAAAAACTGTTGTTTTTCTGGTAGTGATTAATATACTATTGCCGATAATCACAAGTTATGCTTATTATATTTATAATATTGCTTAAATTAATTATGAAAATACAAATATTTTATATTCGTTATCACGTGACCGCTAACAGAGCGTGATGTCATGGTCCTACTCATATCAGAACACAGAGAATTCAACCTTATGCATTCTATGTAGAACGATATTAGTTTGAGAAGGCCGTGACGTCATAGCAACGCCATGACAGAAGTGGCGGTTTCGCGGGAAATTTTGAATATTACATTTATTAATAATTATTAACTGATTATATGAATAATACTATTATTTTTTTAGATATATTTCATGTATATTTATAAAAAGAAATATATAAAAAGTTGTCTACGCTCCTCTTTACGAGGTTTATGCTTGAGCGAGTCACAGATTGAATGAGATCTATTTTCCCTGACTTTTTCTGCGCCACCTTTGAACCACCACACTCCCTAGAGTCCGCATTACGTTACATTACGCCTAAAGCCGATAGTCTCTATTTTTTTAATGCATTATTCATTTTAAAATACCTAAACTTTTAGACATTATCCTGGCCAACATGCGTATTCGCTAACACGACCGAAAATCTAATAATAATAATATTCTTTATTGCACGCTAGACAGGACATAATACAGAGAAGATAGAAAAAATCTTAATCACCGGAAAAAGTGAGCAATTTAAATGTGTGCAAAATCACTAATTCATATTTACATAATATTTCATCCGTAAGCATTAGTGACCATAAAAGTGAACTTCAATAAGTGATTCCACCTCAATAAAAAAATAGAAACTGGCTAGGAATTCTCGATCTATTAAAAATGAGTCACAGAATATCAAAAATTCTGAGATGACAGTTTGCCCACAGAGCTTCATGAACAATGTATTTCAGTTATCAAGAGAAGTACAGAATTAGGGGGCAGATCATACATCACATTATAAAAAAATTACTTTTCTTTGTAAAGCCAAAATAAGTTACAATATTACTAAACTCATATATTATTAAACTCACCGACTTTAAGCGTTGGAACAATCTTAGACTCTCCTTTTTTGGTACTGGAGACGAGCGCAATAATTGGTTTGCCGCGACCGTCCACCGACTCTGCCGCCCCACGAATGAAGTCCACTTGTCCACCGAAGCCGGAATACATACGGGTACCTGATGAAAGAATATATATTATCGACCGAGTCCCTCAGAGAAACTCACAGGGGAAGCAAAAAAGTAATGCCATCAACCATCCGTTTTGGTTTGAACGAATTTCAACAAACTGTCATGAAATGACGTTAGATGCCATTTCATATGATATTATATTGGGTATGTTCAGCAGTAAGACCACTGCGCAGTGGTCTTACTGCTGAAAAATCCGTTCCATTATGGACTGCCAGTACACTGCTACAGTACCCTAGGGAAATTTATGACGTCATAAATTGCCGCCATATTTGTACTGTGACCACTGGAGATTTCGAGGTAAGGTGCTCGCAGTGCTTTTGATCACGTGATCAGTCGAAACAGAATCAGAAAATGATAAGTTTCTAAATAAACAAAAAAAAAAAAATACTTACGTTTATTATAAGATGGATAAATATTTTTTTTATACAATTTTCCAATTTTATAATTTTTTTTTTTGAAAAGAGGGAATCTTTATATTTATATTCACCTTGCATCAACAAATTTGAAAATGGCGACAAAAAATAGGATTAACAGTATACTCGACTGCGTTCTGTTTTAAAAAGTCACCAGTATAACTAGCTATAAAGTAACGGGCTTCCAGTATACTAAATTGACGTCATACTGTTCAGTGGTCGCAGTGTATATCGGAACATACCCATTAGTTACCTATACTTAAAACACACCTGAGTTGAATGGGTAATGGGTAGTTAAATGTGAATTTTATAGCTCAGGTATTCTAATACTAATTCACTGTAAATACATATTTTTCAATTCTTTTGGTCAAAAATATCGTCTTTATAGCATTTCAAAGAGATTTGTATAGATTTATTGAGCGACCTTCAAGAAATTCCAATACAAAATTTGTCTCGTACTTATGCCCTCTAGCATTTCTCTATCACTATATCAACTTTTGCCCACTTAAATAATCATTCAAAAGTTGTCAGTATCTGTCAAGCAACTAGACAACAGGTGGTAATTTTGTATTGATTACATTTTCCAAAAACGCTGACAAAATACCCTTTTTTATTTATTTAAAATATAAGGCGAACATATTACAATCTACTAATAATATGCCAATAAATCAGCTTTTCATTTTACGAAAAACAAACTGATCTTTCCAAAAGTTTGTATACTATATAGAAAAGAATAAAGAATTACAATTAAAACTCGTACGAATTAACATGACACCATGAAAAGTTTTCCTAGGATTCCAATATTTTTGGCTTAATGCTCTCTCTTTTTTTATATAGAAAGTTAGTAGGTATTTTTAAAAGTAAAAAGGGGAATATAGAAACTTGTACATACCGATAGAGTCAGCGCAGATTTGTCCGGTGAGATCCACCTCGATACAAGAGTTGATGGCTGTCATGCATGGCTGCAGCGATACTATGTGAGTGTTGTTCACATAATCTATCTCCAGCATCTCTGTATTAGAATGAAAATGTATAAACATAATAAATTCATTAATTTTTCACATATCAATACATAATATGTAGGTAAAATAACATCTCTTACCAATGAAGGGGTTATTGTCAACGAAGTCGTACAACTCTTTGGTGCCCACCAAGAAACTGCCCACAATACGACCCTTATGGAACTTTTTCCTATAAAAAAAAGAGGTTAATTCATTAATTTTGCTATATGTTACAAGCTAAATAAAACCACAATTGACTATGACGGTTGTTTTTAGTCACCACGGCATAAAATACCTTAATAGCTTTTAAGCCTTAGTACGAGGATGGTTAAGTTCAAAACGAAGCAGATACTTGACATTTTGTGGTAACCTCTTGATATAAGCACTCGAAATTTCTAGTTTGGTAGATAAGAATTGGGAATTTTGACGAAAACGATTTTTTTGATATAACAAAGATGGTCTTCATCCAGTACTGGAATATTCAAGTATGAAGAAGTCAATGGACGTAATCCTTCAAAAAATTAAACTGGAAGATAATGGATTCATTCGTTTTGAATTTTATGAGACGGTGCTAGGGCTCTATACATAATATAAAACAAAATCACTTCCCAGTGTCTGTACACTGAGATCTTATAAGCCACACATTTTTGTTTTCATAAATATAATAGATTGATTAAAGAGGAAGGTTGTATATGTATGTATGTATAATACAGGACAGGACCACGCGAGCGAAACCGCCGGCAGAAACTAGTTTATTATATATTTGGGGCTTTTTCATTCGATGAATATAGTTCAGTTAAAATATATTTTGGTTCCTAAATTAAACCCAATTCATCAAAATATCAAAAATTGCGTTATAAGCTTTATGCATATAACTTGAAATAAATTTGGACATTTTATTTAAAAAAATCAAACAATCTCTTGAAAGTCACAATAAATGAATCCGTGACGTTTCCCTTATAATGGTAGTTACTAACTTGTTATTGGTAACGCAACCGCGCCTCACGAGGTCGATAACTCCCACGCTGAACATCTCCGAGTGTATGCCGAGATCCTTGTGATTCTTCAGAGCAGATAGCACCGCATCAGGAATGTTGCCGATACCTTCACAACAGTAGGAACAAAACTTTTTTTAGTCGCATTATGTGGACTAACAAGCTTCCTTTTTCTGGTACTGACAAAACAACTATAGAATTTGATATCATGCGGTAGTCTCATATGTAGGGTTGTCATACGTCCCGATATAACGGGACAGTCACCGTTATCGAGTCCCGATATCCTAACAAAACATGGAAATGTCCCGATTGAAATAGCGCAACTGCTTCCAGAGACTGGATGGTTATTTTACAGTATCAAAGTACTACTGGCACAAAATTCTGCCGCTACATTAAAGAGCATCAAGAATTGTTAAAGCATTCCTATGATTCCTATGATAAGCACTTTATTTTCTATATATTTTCTATATGATTAGAAAATAAAGACTAGATCACCTTCCCCAAAAGTTGTGTAGGTATTTTTTCTCCCTATGCCCTTCTTTCCTAATGTTCCAAGAAAATTAGCTGAATATGGCAACCCTACTCATTTTTTTATATGTACTCAAAATTGCGAAACTCACCCATTTGTAAGGTCGCGCCATTTTCCACTAAGTTATCCCCAATAAGTTGACCGATTTTAGCCTCTTCAGGGCTGGGCGGTTTTCCACCGTGTTCGGGTAAAGGTGTGTTATCCTGGACTGCGTAGTCTATATGGGACACGTGAATTATGGCGTCACCGAACGTACGGGGCATGTTCGTGTTGATTTGAGCTGTAAAAAAATACATTTTATAAATAGCTAAATAACTTAAGACCTACATCTATCTTAGAAGCCGCTGCTCATGAGCAATTATCTTTCTTTATACACTTTAAAACTCTCCTGTCTCCTTTCCAATCTGGATTTCTTATTGGTCACAGCACAACAACAGATCTCTTGAAAGTCACCGAAGACACCAGAACTAGCATGGAGAATCAATTAGTCACCATCATTGTTCATTGACTTTTTAAAGCGTTTAATATGATTGACCATGACCTTCTGCTTGCCGTACTGAAATCCCTCAATCTTTTGTCGTTAACATTGGAATGGTTCTCAGTTTATCTTCGTGGACGTCAGCAGACAGTACCTAAATATCGTGAATTGTCTTCCGGGAACAATCTGACAGCTGGTGTCCCCTTTATCCTCTGCTTTTTCCATATTCATTAATCATCTCTCTTTCACGATTGGCTGTTTTTATCATTTCTATGCAGATGATTTGCAAATATAATTGCAAACAACGAGAGATGAAAGTTATTCGCCTGAATCACTTTCTTAATTACTTAATTAAATAAAAGTCTCTCATGCCAGTGCATTGTCAAGTACTTTTGGAATTTCTGTGAACCCTACAAAATGTCAAGTAAAAGCTTGATTCTGGCCTGCTCCCACCTGTTGTGTTTGAAAACTCTAAAATACCTTTCAATACTACTGTTAAAGACATTAGACTTCATATTAATTCTGAGCTCAGATGGACAACACAGGTTGCCGAGGTCAGTCATGTGGTAAACTTATTCATTGCACTCACTTAATCGCTTCAGAAATTTTCTTCCAATCACAACTAAGATAACCCTCGTCAGTTCCCTTATTCTTCCGCTCGTTGACTATGCTGATGTATGTTAACCCGACTTAAACGAAGACTTCTCAATAAGTCGGACCGCCTTGTCAACAATACAATTCGTTTTATTTTCTGCATTCGCAAATATGATCACGATTCGTCTTTTCGATCTCAACTAAAATGACTCCCTATTCGGCAGTGCAGACAGTGCAGCATTGCTCGGTATGCTTTTACGTTCTTTCTAACCCTTATTCTCCAAATAACTTAAAAAATAAATTTTTATATCTTTATAATTCTCATGATAGACAACTGCGTTCTGCTAATACACTTGCACTATCTACTCCACTTTCCAGTCTGGCTTTATGTCCGACTCTTTCACCCTTCAATCTCTACGACTGTGGAATGGCGTCCCCGATACCATCAGACGATCTCCTAACAATTTAATCTTTAAAAGGAAAGCCCACACTTTTCTCCTGGAACGTTTATGAAAATCATCATCATCATACACACATATGATTATGTTAATTGAATAATTAATTCATTTGTAGTATAGTTTAAGTAGTATATTTGTTAGTTGACGTCTTGTAGTAGTTGTAAAATTATAAATAAATTTAATGAAATGACTTACCAATGATGATTTTCGAGTTGACAAGTGCAGCCCTAACACAGTCTACTGAGGTACCGAGACTGCAGTAACCATGCTGGTCTGGAGGGGATACCTGTACGATGAAAAAATATATACATTGATTTAAAGTTAAAACCTTCCATAATCCGAGCGACTGCTCTTTGTTATACCTTTTTGAAATAATGTGGGGGGCAAGTAAGAACATATTAGGAACTTGTTTCCATGCGACGTTACTGGTTTAATAGATTAGGATTAATGTACCACACATTTACCCTAAATTTCCCCACGGCAACACTTAAAATTGAACCACAGTAGTGTCATGATTAGCTAGTTGATATCAATTTTATATGAGGATTGCATAATCAGCATCTTCTTTTAAACTATGCTATGTTAGATATTGGTTTAGCAAAATCAGTGTCTCGGACACATTTCAATCTACCTTTTCCATGTTATATTCTTTCTTTACAAATAAAGTTACCTGGATAACGGCAATGTCAGGCTGGATGATTTTTCTATGGAACAGCTTTGGGATATCCTGTAGGAAGATAGGTATGGCGTCGGAGCGACCCTCGGCAACTGCCTTGCGAACGTTAGCCGCCATGAACAGAGAGCATGACCTGGAAACAAGCAGCATTAAAACATTATAGTTAAGTAAAGCAAATTTAATTACAAGAGACATAAACTGTGTGGTTAATTTCGAGGTAAAATTGTATTGTTTGTCCATAGAAAAATTTATAAATATACTAGCTTTTGCCCGCGACTTCGTTCGCGTGATATAGTTACTTTGGGCAACATATATTTTCCAAGAACGCTGTTGTTTTTTGAGCTGATGATGAAATTACCTAAATGTTTAAGTTCGAAGATAGTACAACAAAAAAACCAACAAATGTCCAATATGTTTCAGCACTTTATCTTTGAAACTTTAGATTTATTAATCCAATTCAATGCAATTTGAAATACAGATAAAAAAAACAGTTCTGAAGTTTACAAAAAACTTAATCGAAAACCTAATCTACGCAAAATTCTTTGAAAGAAACGTTACCGCAGATTACTTTAAAATAAACGCTAGAACACAGCGCCATCTATTGGGTGTATTTGCAACCTAGATGTCAAACGATATTGATGAATTTTATCTATGAATCACGGTACACCTTCATCTATGAGAACTTCATAAAACTAAACAGTAAATAAACACTTGCTTAAGAAACAATTAATTAGTACATTTTATTCGTTTACATTCACGACATAAGCGAATAATTGAGAAGATAACTATCCTATCCAGTAAGTTAGACCAAAATACGGGTACATTTAATTGAATTAATAATTTGAATTAATAATTTGGTAATTTGATTGAAATCGGTTCAGTAGTTTTGGAGTTTATTGGCAAAATATATCTTGACACCAAATTTTAAATATACATATAAGATAGAAATATGATGTAGTTTCTTATTTATAATTTCAGCTTATTTTGACAATATTTCTTTCAGTTATAACAATATATATTGAAATATGTTGGAAATGCTAAATTATATGTAAAAAATAACTACGCAGTATTTATTGTTTTAAAATAAATTGTAAATATATTTTATTTTTATTTATTGAAATGTGACGTCACCGCTATAAATGTCATGTGACTGGTTGTTTACGCAGGAAAATTTAAGTTATTAATAAAAAAAAATCGTTTGTGTTTACACCATTTTAGATACAGTCAAGTAGGCAATTTAAAAAATATATACATAGGTAAGCAGTTTTGTCCGTTTTTTGGTACAGTCATATAATTTAATTTACAAGAATTTTCAAACGTAAATAAGCTCAGTTATTAAACTTAGTGTAGAGTCAAGAGATATTCATTTAGTTATCATGCCAAATTCTAGTTGCCACTTTTAACGGACATTGTCACTTTACCATCAAATATGGTTCAAAGGTCCGGGCTGGGCTGCTGCACACACCGTTCGATGTGTGGAGTGACCGGGCCCAGGCGGGGCCACTACCAGAGTGTGACTAAGGAACGGAATACTAGTGGCTGGTGTGGCTCACGCTCGGCTGGACATTGGTATCCGGGGCTATCGGGGGGCGATGGATTTATCGCTGGGGTTCAGCCCAGATGAATTGTCACTCGTAGACGGGCTAGGGTGGGAAATCCCCATTTGCGCATATCTTGCCTTTGGCAAGGGGCAGTTTGGCGGGTTAGCCCTGTAAAAGGTGCGGGTCGAGCGGGGAAGGCAGGCGCGGGGGGTGGTCCCGTTGGGAACCGTTACCGCGAGTCGTTCCCCGTGGTGAGGGACATCGCTGAGTTTTAATGGTTGGCCCTGCTCTTTCCCACATAACCCGTGGACCTCGCGCAGGGTGAAGCGGGTATGCGTAACGTTTTAAATAGGTTCGTATGAATTTATAGTTATAATAATAAAGAAGGGCGTAAAAAAAAATTTTTTTTAACTGTAATCCATGCATCTGATTCACAGCAAAAACTTATACAGTATTATTTTTGTACCACTTTCAGCCGGTTCAGCGGCTCCATGACCTAGACCCAGTACCACGTCGAGCCTTATGCGAGTGGCTCCTACATCACCGCGATGCAAACATCTTGCTGATGGATGACGCATTGTTCACACGTGAGGGACTGTTTCTTTTGGGAAGAGGCACAACGCCTAGTAGACTTAACAATAAAAATTAATAACGCTTTTAGTGAAGTGAAAAGTGATACTAGTGTTTAAATAAATTAAATGACAATTTAATGAAACGTGCACGTTTATGTCTGGACAGAGGCGGACTTAATTTTGAACAAATATTAAAATACAGTGATCAGTACATGGTAAGTAATTAGTTAGGTATTATTTTTAGAATAAGAATAAGAAACATTCGTTATTTTTGATTCAACATTATTGTAAATACGTAGCTGATTCCATTTTTTTAAATACGCCTTAACGCAAAAGTGTACCTATAACCTCGGCATAACGTTAATATTTTTTTCTAGGTTACTAATTTGTTTCTCTTTTATTTTATTTTTTGCATTTCAATGGCCTTAACCATAAAAGTATGAAGGGAAAATTGGAATTACTCTTACAAATCACCTCAGATCATGGCATAAATTCTAGTTCGAATCTTACAAAATGAGCGATCAATGACCCATGTAGATACCTACATACTTATAAATATCTACGGCGTCGAGCGTGCGCTCAGCTGACGAACAGCGCGCGGTTTCCATAAATTTAGTTTTAAAGTTTCGATTTTTGGTAAGCGATAACTTAATTTTTTAGTATAAGAACATATCAAAATAGAAAATACGTGTTTGTTTAAATTATTTAAAGTTTATTTTTACAAAATCTTCGCAGTGGTTTTAAAAAAAAAATACTTAAAAAAAACTTATAAAATGAAAGAATATTCTTTATCTTAAAGGCTGTATATATATCAGGAAAATTCTATTAAAATAGAGATATTAATGTTAAAAATCTACACCACTCGAAATTTCTTGAATAAAATTAAAAAAAGATTACAGAAAAAGTAATATTATCAGCAGTTGAAAAAATATTTAATTAAAAATAACATTTTATATCAGAAACAGCCAGGCTTTAGAGCTGGTAGAAGCACGACTACTGTACTTCTGGATATCCTCGACGATATAATTATAGGGCGAGATAAGGGAAAGGCTTCTGTTTTGGTTTTGATTATTGGCGCGCTTTTGATTCCCTAAATATAAAAATATAAAAGTTGGATTATTATGGCATTGACGAAAAAAACACTAAAGTGGTTTTAGTTTTATTTAAATGGCCGCTCTCAGAAAATTGAAGTTACTAGTGATTATAGTATAAAAAGATTATCTTCTTCTACCTCCGTAAAGTATCATATGGGGTGCCACAAGGACCCATTTTGGGACCTATTCTTTTTATTTTGTACACCGTGGACCTTCCTTCTTGTATTTTTCCCGCTTATATTCCGACGATTTGCAAATTGACAAAGATTTTACCTTAAAGAACTAAGAAACGCTTGTGGATATAAATTACGTTCTTGTATCAATCGTAACGTGGTCAGAGAAAAATAACTTGGTTCTGAATTCACCTAAGACTATATTTTTGGTAATAAGTTCTAATCTATTTCCAGAAATTTAGTCTTAGGTGGATTGTACCTATATAAAGGCTCATATTAGCTATACTCCATTCATTATAGCATTAGACAGAATGAAAATAAAGTTCTTTTCTAACGGCTAATTTGCTACATATCCACTTAAATTCCAGCTGCTATACTTAACCGTTGCCTTTTAAGCTATATATTAAACAAATTTATGAGTATTTGACTGACTTAAAACATTTAATAATTATTACAATAAAAAGTGTTCATCTTAAAGAACCTAAAGAAGCAGGGTTAGATAGTTCGGCACGATTCTCATGTCACTATAACTCTACCAAATTTAAGAGGTTGCCTAATCCCTTCAAACGTTTCGGCAGTACAGCTTTTTAATTTTGGCAGATTATGATTTATTTATAATAGTCAAAATACGTAATCTGGGATTGTCATTAATTGTGAATGCTACTGCCTTTCCTGTTGTTTTGCCATTTTCGGTGATTGAGTAATTACTGTTTTATTGTTGTTTTCTTATAGTTTTGTTTAAGTTGTTATCTTTTTGTTGTTTAGTTTTGCTAAATTGCGATTTCCGGAGTGGCCTACAACAAAGGTAATTGTTGTAGGCCACTCGCCTACAACAATTACCTTTGACATTTAAGCAAGTTTTTCCAATATCTTAATCAATAGTCTAATAATATCTGAATAAATTTTATAACACTAATAATAAAAAAATAATTTTGTTTACCTTTATTTTCTGGGCATAGATATAACTAAATTATATTCTAATTATATACACTTACAATTAGAATCAATCAAAACAACAGATAGATAGTTCTATTTCCATGTTGGCTCTCAGTAAAATATGAATTTAGAAAATGCTAGTCTCATCTCAACCCCGAAAAAATTTAAAATTGCCCAATTCTTTCAGACTACCTAATGTTCAAAATTTCAACAAAACTATGATAAATATTTTTTAAGTTTATCTTGTAAATAAAATGTTCTGCACTGCTGCTTCTGAGATCCTCTTTTTTCTAATGTTATAATGAATGGAGTATACATGGGTGATTTCGGTTTTCGTTTGATTTAGCCGAAATATAAAACAGCTGCTTTCCTTGGCAGTTTTAGCTATTCTGCAACTACATGCTGGAACAATATCCCTTCCCGTATTAGAAATACTAAAAGTATTGTAACTTTTAGGACCAAATTTAAGGGTGATTTCATGAGCATTCAAATATTAAAAAAGCTATGTACATACGTTATTTATAGTTACGACTAATTTTGAGTGTTTGTAAATTATTATTATTAGTTTTATTATCATAAATATTTAATTGTTACTATTAATCTATTATAATTATTAGTTTGTCTTCACACATTTACCAATCTTATTGAATTATATTAATTATAATACTGTAATGCTTGAAGTTAATAAATTAAACAATACCTTAGTATTATTCACTACTACTAGTGTTACTCATTAGTGTTATGTACTTGTAATTTGGTGCTAAGTAAACACTTTTCTATTCTATTGGATTCACCAAAACCCCACTATTTTATACACTAAAAAAAGATTTTATTTCACCTATTGCTGTTTTGAGGGTTAATAGTATATGTTCATATTTTATACTTATACTAGCTGTTTTCCCGCGCGGCTGACCGCCCCCTCTGCCATCCACCAAGGCCGCCACTGCCAGTTTTATGATCGGTCCAGTAGTTTCAGAGCCTATTCATGCAAGCAAGCAAACAAACAAATCTTTTCTCACTACAATATTAGTATAGACATCATCATACTGTGGTAATATTTTTTTTGTAGAGTGTAGTAGAGTAAGATCGATCATCGGCCGAGGTCAGTAGAAAACGAGAAGCGACTTAGCTCCGAATAAGCAACGTCCTTCAGTGTACCTATACATACACAAATCTATACAATAAAATACGTATGTACGTCAGCTGGAAACAGTAATCGTACGATTATGATAAAAATATACACGCCGACGCTATACGCCTCTTCTCAAAATATCTCAATCTAATATAGACGTAAACAAGTTATCAAATTGTTCAAATTTTAATATAAGTGTATAATTTTAATATAAGTGCAACTTTTGCAAAAAATACAAAAATTAGTTAAATTTGTAATAATTGTCCTAAAGCACCCATTTACTTGGTGCTACTTTTGTAGTACGCATAGTTTCCGTATGATTCATCTCATCTATATCTTCTAAAGTCATTGTTTTGTGAGGTGTCAGAGTTTAAAACTCTTCTCCTAAAAAACTAAAGTTTTGCATAAGTGACAGTGTCGCACCGGGAGTGCGATATTTCAAAAAAAAATATGTCAATCTATAATTTGAGCATTCACAATGAAAAATTAAGTTAAACTATTGTTTCGTATAATCCCACGTCAGCAGACCTTGTGCTTATTTTATTTACTCTTTGGGTTAAAATCTATTCGATAAAGTAACTATTGAGTTTACTTTACTTCTTTTCTTTGATGGTTTATAATAACTTTATATACTATAAAATTAATGTATAGTAAATAGACAGCAACGGTTGCCAATTCACATATATACTCGTATCATCATATATTATGAATGTTTCTTATCGTAATACTGACATATAACTTTGGCAATTTAAGATCATAGCGCATTCAACGCTGCTAACAGAGATAACAGTATTATATCTTATCAAACAAGATCTTGTTTTATTTAATCAGTAAACCGTTGTAACCTATAATATTTGACAGCGAAACGTGTAATCAAAATTATATCTCTCTTTTGGTTTTGCTTATGTAACATAACTCAAACATAATACAACGAAAGCAAGATTGTGCTATCTTTAAATAGTCAATTATTATATTTTTCTATTCAAACGGTGGTACAATAATTTTGTTAGCATTTAGTTAATGTTTACTTACAGGGGCCTTTAAAAAAGCCTAAAGTTAAAAATAGAATACTTTGTGTGTTGTAAAACAATAATACATTATACAAAACATACATTATATATGACGGTCATGTATATTTGGTGAATCTACAGTAAATAGCCAAAATCAATCCATTTCCAGCGGTCTCGAGTTCATATTATCAGGATCATAATATTTGTGATGGGATGTATCCTTAGATTATATACATAATATCATCTATTCTATTTGCGAAATCTAATTCAAGTAACAATGCGCTGTAATAATGAAACATACTCATGACAGAGATGCATTGAAATTTTACTCCATTTACAACACACAACTCCCAGCTCTTCAACTTATCTTAATTGTTTAGTAGATTAAGATGAATTAGCAGACATCATTCGAATAAAATTTTTATTCCTGCCCGATATTAGTATAGATACGAGTACAACACATCACTTGAAAATGCTGATGGATTTTGCTTTAGCGTTTACACGGCGAAATAGATAACAGGGTAACTAGTCAAGACTTACGTTATACTTGCTGTTTTCGCCCTCGACTTCGTCCGCTTAAATTATAGCCATATAGGTGAAAGATTTTTTTTTAATTAGTAAAGTAGTTTCGGAGCTTATTTGATGCAAACAAACAATTAAATCTTTCCTTTTTATAATATTAGTATAGATAAATCGATTCTGTTTAATAAAAATAAATATACTTATAAATATCATTACCTAGTGGGTTTTATAAATTAGACTTATATCTATAGATATCTTGATAAATTCGTGCGTATATAATGGTTATTTACTGCTAAATATATTTATATGATTAGCCTTGACTTTACCATTGAAAAACTAGTTCATAGATATTAATAAGTAGAAAAACAGTATGCGTGTGCTCACACATACAACCTCGCCGCGATTATCCCAAAATAAAACAATATGGCGAATCACTAACAGAAATACATTGATACGTTTCTATTCGAATCAAAATCAGTGTCTCAGTAGTATAGGTATTCGTTAAGATTATTACAAATTTTGCTACGATTATTGAGATACTTTTTTTTAAATATAAAAATATAATTTTATTTGATAACACGTAATAATCTATTCTTGTTATAAAAAAGGAAAATTTGATTGTTTGTTTGTTTGCATCGAATAGGCTTCGGAACTAATGGATCGGTTTTAAAAATTCTTTCACGTACGGGAAGCTACATCATATGACTATATTTTATATATTTTATCCCGTAAAACAGCATAGGGAATTAAAACGTTACCATAGTAACCGCTCACGAGGTCCCTAAGTCCCTAAGTTAGTAACTTAATCTATATTAATATTATAAAGAGGAAAAATCGAATAGGCTCCGCAACTACTTGACAGATTTTAAAAATCTTTTCACCTACGGGAAGAGACCTACATCATATGAACATAGGCTACATTTTAACTCGAAAAACAGCAAATAAAGTAATAGAAACGGGAGTGGAATCTTGATAGAAAATGAAAACGTTGCCGTGGTAACCATTGGAGGACTAACCATAAGAGGTCTATCCCTAGCCTCCGATCCTACAGGGCCTCCAAATGGGTGCAGTCATCCGCCAAAATCATAATAACATCATAAATTTAAAAATGTGTGCAAGCTTGTAGGTAGAAGCAATTATAAGATTTCGCCACGGTTGGAAAAGTTGTCGTTCCGGCCCAACTGCCCGGGCCTCCGACGAGGTTAGTCCGCCACTGCTCCTAAAATTCACAATATTTTCGATTTCTACCCGCAATTATACTTTTTGGGCGATGTGAGCCATTTTGTAGACGAAAACTTATACAAAAATCGTAATGGTGTGCAAGTGAGTATTTTTGATGTTTTTTTTTAATTTTATATTATCCTCATGGCCAAATTACTTCTTCCAATTTTTTCCCTATTGATATATGATATCAATACCAAAGCAACCAATTTAAAATCCTTGTGGTAGGATTACTTATATACTCTTTAAATTTTACGAATCATCTTCAAATAAAAAGTAAAATTATAGATTAGATATTTCTATAAATGTTAGTCATTCTTTAAAGACACTGTAACTTGAAAGTTTCAAATAAAAACTTGTGTTTATAGTTTAAAATTACGGTGTATGGTTTAGAGAAAATACGGTGTAAATAACGGTGTGATTTCATAGTTGCTATTTTCAATAAAATACCAATTTCAGGTTTGATTGTTTTTTAATCAAAAGTTGTTTGTACTACCCATAAAAAATTAGTCCAAATCAGATATAACAGAATATCCTCATTTTTGTAAATGTTCAGATTTACAAAATATTTACAAAAATAGGTTTTGGTATAACCTAAAATCTTCATTGATTAAAATGTATAAAATCAAGTGAGCGCGTCTTTACTCTCGATAAAAGAACGTAAGCAAAGGTAGTAAAGTGCCTTAATTTTACAGTGCATAGACATTCCGTTTTAAGGATGCGTACCCGGATATCGGAATTACTGACCTACAGGTAATATGGATTACGGTAGATTTGTAGATTTCTCACAATTGTAATGCTAAGGTGGTAGGTGGTAAAATTGTGTTGGTTACGGTGCACATGGCAACACTGATAGAGGTCGATGGTTAAATCTCATTAAATCCCACCATTTCGGGACCCCATCAGGTCAATATTACCACCACTTTAGGAATCCTTAATCTATCGTTTCTTAAAAAAATCTGCCATGCCTATAGATTAATTGGGATTAAAATACTTCTCTAACCTGAATATATCCTTGTATTCCGGCGCGGTGTATGCTGCCTCCTTCTCTGTGTGCATATGCACAACCTTAATGTTCTTCATGTCTCCAGCTTTGCCGACTTGCGTCATGGCATCGAGTAGAGGAGCCGGGGTTGCTGCCGCACCCTGGGAGTAAACCGTGGAGTCTAAGGAGAAACAACTTATGTACACACTATTGCATGTCAGAATTCCACAATATATTAAAGCCCCAAGTGATTTTATATTCTACCATCAATATATGAAGGTTTAAGATCAACTTGAGAAAACAATTTTATAATGTTACATAAATTATGGTATAGGTTATTGTTTATTATTTAATGGACTGTAGTTTTTAATTATCAATTTCAAAATGAAAATAACGCGACACAATTTTTAATTCTGGTTTTTTACAAGGTTACTTACCCAGCTCTGCTGAAGATGATTCAGCAATCGACCACGTTAATGCCTCAGGCCTCCTAGGGATCGTTAGTTTGTCAAGACTTACCTCAGAAACCCAAGTAAACCTTACCACACCACGTCGTCGATAGTCCACCCAAAGTAAACTTGCAGCAAACCAGTTCTACTTCACAATTTATTAATAATTTAATGTTTATTAGTAATTTACTTGAATAATGTGTCTTTTCAACATTAATTCACGACAAAAGGCAATTAAATTAACGAAAACGAGATACGAAAACGAGAGTACGAAAATTCTAATCAACCTTTTTTAATTCGAACAATAAAAAAGTGAAAGGCAAAATAGGAATACCCTTCTTTCACGATTTTATATTAAAAAAAGTGTTGCCAGAGCAAACCTTCAAATTCACTACAATTCTTAACATTCCGCCCACCAAAATACAATGTATTTTCTAAAGTAATAACCTAACAAACATTAGCAATGAGTTTTATTATAATCAAAAAATAAATAAATAAAAATAAACTAATTAACGAGAGGCACGAAGCTAAATTAATATTGAATTGGTAAAGGACACAGTTTTACAACTGGTCGTTTAATTTCTCCTGAATCTGTTTTGAGGGTAATCACGCGACAAATCCCATCAGTCCCACGATGAAGTTTAATTACCCGACCCATTTTCCATTTCATAGGACTACATTGCTCATTGACAATGAACACAAGAGATCCTACCGCGATGTTTCTTTGTTTGTTATCGAACCACTTATGACGTTGCTGTAGGGTATGTAAATATTCAAGATGCCACTTACGCCAAAAATTTTGATGAATTTGTTGCAACAACTTCCATCTCTGCAAAATGCTTATGTTCGCATCCACTAAGTTGCATTCAGGTAAAATAGTGAGCGGTTCCAAAGTAAGAAAATGGCCTGGAGTCAATACCGAAAAATCATTTGGATCTGAACTAATTGGCGACAAAGGTCTCGAATTCAACATGGCTTCAATTTGCGTTAATACGGTATAAAATTCCTCGAAAGTAAGGCGTTGAATCCCGATTACGCGACTCAAATGGGTTTTTACAGATTTAATCCCAGCCTCTGCCAGTCCAGACATATGAGGGCTACCGGGGGGATTAAGGACAAACTCAATTTGTTCAGAACGTGCAGCATTTACTGCCAATTCATGTAACACATTGGAAGCTCCGATGAAATTTCTCCCTTGATCTGAAACCAATCTCGAACAACGACCACGTCGTGAAATAAAACGTCGTAAAGCAGCTAAATAGGCTTCGGTCGATAATTCAGATACAAGTTCCAAATGCACCGCCTTAGTTACGGTACACACAAAAACACAAATGTACGCCTTAAATGTACGTACTCCTCTACCTCGTCCTAAGCAAATATCGAAAGGCCCACCATAATCAACAGCAGAACACGAAAATGGTTTAATTTGATTTATACGAAATTCTGGTAAGTTGCCCATGATAGGTGGCGAAGCAACCTTAGGATGAGCACGAAAACACTTCATACACGACGAAACTACCTTTTGAATAGCCCTTTTCGACGATAAAATCCAAAATTCTTGAGCTAACATATTTTGTAAATTTTGCAGTCCAGGATGCATAAAACGTCGGTGATAATCTTCAATGATCAACGTGGTTAACCTATGATCACGAGGTAACAACAAAGGGTGTTTAACATCGAACGACAGCTCCCCCTTGGAGAGTCTACCACCCACCCTTAACAAACCATGTTCATCCAAAAATGGAGACAATTTTCGCATGGGTTTCGAAAGTAAGCGATAGTTTTCATCTGTGGATAAGTTATGAAGTTCTGACACAAATGAACATCCCTGCACATGTTTTATGAGAAAATAAAAGGCATTATTAATTTCCTTACACGACAACTCCTTATTAATATTTTTCGAAACTGAATTTTTAAGATTGTAAATATAACGAAAACAATACGCTAAAATATGCAAAATACGCTTTAATGACGAAAATTTATTTAAAATTTGATCAATAAACGATATGTCAGACACTGTAACGAGACTATGAATTTTCTGTTCATCATAAGCCAAATCATTAAAAGATACTGTTGGTTCCGGCCAACTAATTTGGGGTTTTGAAAGCCAATGAGGCCCTGCCCACCATGACTCATTCTGGACTAGATCCATTGGTAACAGACCGCGAGATCCGCAATCTGCTGGGTTTTCAGAACCAGCTACATGTTGCCATCTTTGAGGTGAAACTCTCTCCTGTATATGCGCCACCCTGTTGGCCACAAAGGTTTTCCATTTTGATGGACACGAGCGAATCCAAGTCAAAACAACGCTTGAATCTGACCAAGCAAAAACATCATCAAAACAATAAACATCCTTTAAGGCTTCTATGAGAGAACTTATTAAGTCTGATAATAGAACAGCTGCTAACAATTCCAGACGCGGAATAGTACAACGGCGAAGAGGAGCTACTTTAGACTTTGCGCAACAAAGGCGCACGACAATAAATCCGTCACTTCTAACGACACGACAATAAATGACGGCGCAGTAGCCCTTTTCGGAGGCGTCACAGAACCCATGGAGTTGTAACGATACGAAAGAATCGATCATTCTACGAGGGATGGACAACGAACTCAATAAAGAAAGTTGAGACTTAAATTTACGCCATTCTCTAACAATATCTTCAGGAGCATCACTATCCCAATCTACTCCAGACAACCATAAACGTTGGATTAAATACTTTGCCAAAAATACAACAGGCGATAACAAACCAAGCGGATCGAAAATTCTAGCAATATCAGAGAGAATCGATCTCTTTGTACAAGGACAATCCCCTGATGCAACCTTAAAGGTAAACGAGTCATCTTTGGGAAGCCAAGACAATCCCAAAATCTTTAAAGAAAGATCACACAATCCTTCAAAGCCACGTAGACGGTCAGAATATAAATCATCTACCGGACATGCACTCAAAAATTCCAAGCTGTTGGAAGCCTATTTACGTAAGTGAAGATGAGCAGATGACAAAATTTGGAATAATTCCTTCTGTATCAGTAGAGCATTCTCAACACTGTCAGAACCCGAGACTATATCATCGACATAAGTGTCCCTGGCCAATACAGAAGCACCATTCGGAAAGCTACTCAAAAACTCCTTGGACAATTGAGAAACACACCAAAGTGCCTGGTATGGAGCACAAGAAACACCGTAGGTGACAGTTAACAAACGAAAGTCTTTTACAGGCTCATCAGGAGAAGATCTCCACAGAATGCGCTGATAATCACAATCAGATTTATCAACTAGAAACTGACGATACATTTGTTTAATGTCTCCCGTGAATACAACTGCATGCCAACGAAATCTTAACAACAAGTCAAAAATATTATTTTGCAACTTAGGGCCTGGCAACAATGAATCATTCAATGAGGATCCTGTAGCATCTTTAGCACTTGCATCAAAAACTGTTCGCAAGGGAGTAGTGACAGAGTCAGGCCTTAAAATACCGTGATGTGGAATATAGAAAAAATAACCATTAGATGATAGCGGTGGTTCCACCTCTTCCATATGACCACACTTTAAATATTCTTCCATGAATTCAACATAAGCTGAACGATAAAAAGAGTTAAATCTGAATTTTCTTTCTAAATTTAAGAAACGTTTTAAAGCAATATCACGTGAATGTGAAAACTGGGGCCTATCCAAAGGATCAACGAAAGTTAATGGTACAACCATTCTTCCCTCTGGACTGCGACAATATGAAGCCTTCATATGATTTTCACACGACAATTCAGATTGAGAAAATACGACAGATTTAGGAGGCTCCACACTTTCCAATTCCCAAAAACGCTTTATATTGTGGTCTAAGGACAGATTCGACACGAGAAGGCAGGTTTTATTAACAACACAGGACCTATTACGAAAACGAGAACGACACGAGTCAATGTTAGTAGCACATTCACCCATCACTACCCAGCCAAAAACAGTGCGGATAGCCACAGGTTGACCAGCCTTGCCCCTGACAAAACCAGGTTGAAGCGCTGAAGCTAGAAGATTGGCACTAACCAACATATCAATAGGTCCAGGTGTATGAAAGAGTGGATCAGCAAGATCTAAATCCTTAATATGTGTCCAAGAAGACACATCAATTTGACCCGAAGGCATATCTGAACAAATCTGCGATAAAACGAAAGCTTCTATAAAAAATTTATTTGAAAAGTCACCACTGCATGGTAGTAACTCACATTCAACAGACCCAAGAGTATTTGTGGACACTTGGCCAATACCATCAACTGATTGAACATTAGGTTTTAAATTAAATCCAAGCTTACGAGCACAAGACAAAGTTATAAAATTACAGGCACTAGCACTGTCTAACAATATACGAATGGGAATCAATTTATTAAAATTATTTTTAATCAAAACTGTTGCAGTCGAAAACAATACTTGCGAGTCACAGCCCGGAACAACCAGTGAGGTTCCTTGAGAGAGTTGATGTGGATTTTCATCCTCACGACTATTAAAATGAAGTAATGTATGGTGTCTATTATTACACTTGTCACAGTTTACTGATGATTTACAAACTTTTACTGTATGAGACGGTTGAAAACAAAGTATACAGAGTCTTTTATCTTTTACACACGAAAATCTCTCACTAGGTGTTAATTTTAAAAATTTGGGACATTTACTTACACTGTGATAGGCTGCTGAGCATACAACACACTGACTCATAGGTGGTACAATAAAAGAAGATTTATTCCT